CTTTATTTACCTTTTCTCTTCTTTTCCTCTTTCTCTTTCTTTGCCATTATCCCTCCTCCTCCTCTTTGTCTCAGTCCTTCCTTGTTCCCCTCGTCAGAAAGTGGACCATTTTTAGTCTCTATGACTTGACTCCGCCCAGCCCCTTCCCTATAGCGTCTCTCCTCAACCTCGCTATTAAAATGGACGTGTTTGTGTCCCCCTCCTTTAATCGTCCTCACAAACTTCTCCACAATCAGGAAAGCAATGATACCGGCCAGTACCCACAACCCGACCATCATGTCCTGCGTATGGTCGTGCCCCCCGTGGTGATGGTCGCCGTGATGATGATGGTGCTCATCGTGATGATGGTCTTCATGGTGATGGTCGTCGTGGTGATGTTCGTCATGGTGATGGTCTCCGTGGTGATGTGACCCGACGGCGTGAGGTATGAGATGCAGAAAAGCGTCGCCTAGAAGACCCCCTGAGGCAAAACTAAGGAGGACTTTGAGGAAGTCAGAGTGTTCGGAGGCACTGTTGATAGGAATGAAGAAGAGTATGAAGAACGGGGCAGCACTGACCAGGAGGGTGGAGGAGAGGGCATAGGCCCAGAGCTCAGTTTGACTGGAAAATGGAGAAGAGAGGAAGGAGAGAGAGGGAGGGAGGGACAGGGAGAAGGCAGTCCCCGCTAGAAATAGGAGAGGGACAATTCGACGTAAAATTTGGCTCGTTGCCCTGATGATCATGGCTAGTTTGTTTCTTGCTTCTTCTGTGAGGATTGAGAAGTAAGCTCAGAACGGCTCAGAATAGAAACAGGCCTAACCACGCCTCTAGCTATAAAAATTACAAAATTGGAATGTGTCTTTATAATTTTTATTAGATAGTTAAAAATTATAATTGCTAAAACTACCCACAATCGTCTACCCTGACTGGCATCAATATTGAATCATCTCTGGTTGAATAGATATTCTAGCATGTGTGTATTGTGGCTGATCATCATGATTGCATCTGATGCTAGATCCATGATTAAGATTGAAAACAAGATAATCAGATTAACCCGAGGATTAACCAGCATTAGTCAGCAAAACTCTCGCCCTCGGCAAAACTCTAGTAAACTGCGACTGAGTCACTGAGCTAAACTTTCATTGTCAATTGGTGGATAAAAGAGGTTTACAGTGAAACTGTCGAACTATTACGATGGCATCTCGATCCTGCAATGCTTGCTTCAGTAGTGTTGCTACAGCTTTCGAGGGATTGGGCAAAGAGAGTTTAATTCAGTACATGAAATCCGTCTGGGAAGATTCTGTGCGGCTCCCTGACTTGGAGGATGAGAGAAGTTGGAATGTGTCTTTATTGTACAAAATTTTTTCTCATTATTCGTTGCTTTTTACCATTCCTTACTGCAGTGAAGGGTTCGTAGTTCACCTGAAAAAAGGAGGGTTGCACAGTGGTTAAGTTTGTAACCGAGGTTGTTGATGTAAGGAGTGAGAAAATTAAATCTTTGAATGCCAAATCATTGGGTACCACTAGACCAATCACTGCCCAGGATGTAATCACTAAAGCGCATGATCGACTTGTTCAAATGGGAGACTATCATGCAGTACTGAACAACTGTCAAGATTATTGTCAGAAGTTAGCAAAGGATTTGGGACTTGATAATTTTTTGACTGA